GTACATCCAACGGGCCTCACAACCGCAGACCATGTGTAACCACACCAGCTCAGGACCTCCACATCCAGCATCTTCCCCTCCAAGATCGTCTGAGACCAGTCACCTGGACACCTGATGCAACAATCGGTTTGCATAACCAAAGAATTTCTGCACAAATTGTCAGAAACCATCTCAGGGAAGCTCGTCTGCTTGCTCGTTGTCCTCATCGTGGTCTCGGCCTGACTGCAGTTCATCCTTGTAACCAACTTGAGTGGGTAAATGCTCACATTCGATGGCGTCTGACACTTTGGAGAGGTGTTCTCTTCAAGGATAAATCCTGGTTTTCACTGTACGGGGCAGATGGCAGACAGCATGTAGGGTGTTGTGTGGGTGAGCAGTTTGCTGATGTCAATGTTGAGGATCGAGTGGACCATGGTGGTGGTGGGGTTAGGGTATGGGCAGGTGTATGTCATGGACAATGAACACAGGTGCATTTTATTGATGGCATTTTGAATGTACAGAGATACAGTGATGAGATCCTGAGGCCCATTGTTTTGCCATTCATCCACGACCATCACCTCATGTTGCAGCTTGATAATGCACGGCTTCATGTTGCAAGGATCTGTACACCATTCCTGGCAGCTGAAAACATCCCAGTTCTTGCATGGCCAGCATACTCACCAGACATGTCACCCATTGAGCATGTTTTGGATGCTCTGGATTGGCGTACATGACAGCGTGTTTCAGGTCTTGCCAATATCTAGCAACTTCGCACAGTCATTGAAGTGGAGTGGACCAACAGGCCACAATCAACAACCTGATCAACTCTATGCGAAGGAGATGTGTTGCACTGAGTGAGGCAAATGGTGGTCACACCAGATACTGACTGGTTTTCTGACCCCCCAGAACCTGCCAATACAGTAAAACTGCACGTGGCCTTTTATTGTGGCCAGCCTTAGGCACACCTGTGCAATAATCATGCTATCTAATCAGCATCTTGATATGCCACACATGTGAGGTGGATGGATTATCTTGGCAAAGGAGAAGTGCTCACTAACACAGATTTAGACAGATTTGTGAACAATATTTGAGAGAAATAGGCCTTTTGTGTACATTGAAAAAGTCTTAAATCTTTGAGTTCAGCTCATGAAAAATGGGGGCAAAGGTGTGGCGTTTATAATTTTGTTCAGTGTATGTCCTCCCACCATGTACCATACTGCTGATGCAAAGTTTATTCTGGCAGACAAAACTATTTCCACAAGATCAAAGTGAGTGCCCCTTGTTGCACCACAGCCTTTACATTGCCAGCTTGTACATGGGCATGGACATTTAAAATTGTAATGGAAGTCTGGGTAAGCAATATTCTCCTTTTTGGTTGTCCTTTATATCAAGCTTAAAGCAGGCTTTATAAACCAAACTGCATAGTTTAAAAATTGCAAACACAATTTTACAGTGAAGTATTAACCACATTGGGCATGGGAAGCTATGGGCTTACCAGAGATTTAGGACTCTCAGAGGGATAAATGAGGCTTATTTAACAGTCTAGACCCTTCGGGGTGGTGATATTTTAATATTAGAATACATGTTTGTTAACAGAACACTCCCAGCACCATAGCTATTACAGTGCAATCTAGAGTTATGGTGCCAAGAATGCCCTGGCTACCACCATTGTAAGACATCAAGCCATTTTAGAATGGTTTGACTTCTTATCTTTGGTTTGCTGGGCGTCACAACCTGCGTCCACTACTTCCAACAGAGAGCTAGAAGCGCTGCTTAGAAACTTTTGTTAGCTCTTCTGAGCTATGCTCTGCAGTGCAGGGCTAGCTCATTGACTCAGGGTATCAGCTGTTCTCCACCAACGTGCTAAGCTCTGCTGTAACTGTAGTGGGGGCAGGGAGCACTGTTTGGCAAACACCCGTTAAGAAGTCAACCACTTTAGAACAGTGGGATTTCTTACAATGGGGGGGGGGTGCCAGGGCACTCCTGACACTATAATTACTAAGGTGCAGTGTAATGGTTATGGTGCTTGGAATGTCCCTTTAAACTAAAGTCATTGTCCTATCCCATCTGTACTGACCTCATTATTCATGTTTCGTGACGTGCCTAAACATGCCAATACGTAGAAGCACTCAGGTTTTATTGGGCACGCATTTAAGACATACCCTTACTTCAAATCCGAACCGCATATGCATACAGTTCCTACTATGTAACCAATAAATGGTTTCTTCCTCGCGGAAAGAATGAAGGCTGAACTCCATATCGCTGTTACATTGAAATGTATATGTTGTGACAGAGATAATTCATAGAATATGTCTTTTTTTATATTTTCACTTGCTCCCCCTGCTACATAAAAATAAATCAGAGCATTGGATGTGACAGGACAGATGAAATGTACGGAAGGATTTTATTAGGGGAATAATAAAAAACACATCTCGCAGTGTAGCGTTAGTACACATACAAAGAACTAGTAAACCGAGAAGGTTCACTCCAAGGTCGTTTATATCTGTCAGCCATACCACTGAGTTTTGTTTACACTGAGAATGTGATGGCTACTTAATTTGGGAAGTAACAAGGAAACAGGAAGACGGAATAGACATTAAGGCAAAATCCATCCAAAACGTGTGTGAAAAAAAACAAAGGAAATCAAAGTCGTCTTATAAATATTTAGCAAACCACTGTTTTTATTTCTCCTTAAAAGCAGATGTGGAAAAAACGCTCACTTCCTGTTAGGAGAAAATCGAGATGCTCTGTAGAGGCACAATGTCTCTAAGGGATATAATAAGAGATCGCAGAGGAAACATAAAAGTCCCAATTAATGGCCCAGTTTTAAGTGTGAATTGCCTCTCTTTTTGGTTTTTTAAATAACCTCTCTTCTGATCATTTTGTTGCACAAATATTCAGTGATTTATTTTTATTTTTCAATATTGATTTTGGTGTTTAGATCTTGTAAATTATGATACTTTTTCAGTAATCTTGGTAGAACATAGCTGAACAGTTCATATATTCCAGAGAAATGAGCAAACCTGTTTTCCCACAAATTTGCTCATTATGCAGTGCACTATTGCGGAAAAGGATTTTAGGTAGATACATAAAAATAAGGCTCAGAAGGGTTAACATCTAAATCTATCTATCTATCTATCTATCTATCTATCTATCTATCTATCTATCTATCTATCTATCTATCTATCTGTCTGTCTGTCTGTCTATCTGTCTGTCTATCTATCTATCTATCTATCTATCTATCTATCTATCTATCTAACTGCCTATCATCTATCTATCTATCTATCTATCTATCTGTCTGTCTATTGACTGTATCTTTTTTTCAACTAGCTGTCTGCCTATTTATTTTTTGGTTCTGTATGTGAGGAGATAGGCTAATAGTGTGAGTGAATATCTGTATGTGTCTGAATGTGTGACTGTGTGTGGCATATGTGAGCGTGTCACTGTGCGTTTGTGTCTCAATGTGTTCATTTCAGTGTGTGTGTCTCTGTGTGTGTGTATCTGTGTGGCTGTATGCATGGCTTTGAATGTGTATCTGTGTGTGTCTATTTGTGATTTTGGGTATCTGCATGCCTGCATCTATGCTGTGCATGTGTGTATGTAGCAATAAATCCTTTAGATTGTAAGCTCATGGGCAAAGCACTCTACCTCTTGTATCGGTCTGTTTATATTGTATTGTCTTTTTCCAAATTGTACAGATTTGTGGAATATGTTGGTGCTTTATAAATGCCAGTAATAATTAAATAAATACAAATAAATTACTTTGTGTGACTGATTGCAGCACCGTTATGTGTGACCTTGCCTTTGATAGTGAAGTCTTCATATTTACCCCCAAATTTACTAAGTAGCATAGCTGCACCACTGCTGAATTCAGATATGCTTAGAAGTCTGTTAAAAGATTTATGATATTTACTACCACAGCTCATAGGCTGGCTTCCGAACATAACTGAACTGAGCCAGCGTATTTACCTAACAAAATTCAAGTGGTATAAGTAGAAACATACACCACGTGATAAATGTATAGGGGGTAGCTTACCCCACGTTATCTTGATGAAATTGCGAACATTTGGTACATAAAAGAGAAACAGGTACAATATAGTACAGATGGTAATGAAATTGGAATATTGAATCTTAAGAACTGGATCACTCACATTTAAAAGATCCTATATACTGGGGGCGGAGCTTGACAGCCAAGCTGAGTGGTCGCACCTTAGCAGAGCTCCTGTCTAAATAGCCTGAAAACCAAGCAAATTCGCTGCAAAACCTGCAAATTGAATGCTTTCTACACCCCAGACACTGGGGTCTAATATCGAGACAAAACATAACCAAGCCCAGGACCACAAAATGCGACCGATTCCAGGGGATGGACCTGAGGCCTACCTGTGGCCTACTCAGGAAGCATGGGGGAGACGGCCGATCTCTCAGCCGACTGCAGCCTATAATAAAGGAGGTCTCCCCGGAACACTCTCTCCCCCCCCACTGTCGGTGAGGGATATCCCGGCAACTAGAACATGGGGATCAGGACGGCGAAACAGAGCTCAGCCATCTTGTACCACCGGACCGCTGATACACAGCATGGCAGAGACCACGTGGCTCCCAGCATCCAAGCCCAGCTTGCCTCCACTGTCGGAGCGGCTAGACCGCTTATTCAGCGATTTTTGGGCCAAAATCATCAGCCGCAGAGAAGCCCAGGCACAAGTCCCACCGGCATCAGCCACAAAGGACATAACACAGCGGCCTGCAGCCCCGGTGCGGAACACGAGAAAGATCGAGATAGTGGGGAGGGAGAGGCAGAAGAAATGCTGAAAGCCCCAACGCCCGACTCTTAGACCACTGGTGAGTTGCCCAAAGCCTCAATGGAGACGATCTCCAGGGCTGCCCCCTCACCATCCCTCTCACCTGCAAAAAGTCCTCTATAAGAACTGGCCTAGCACACTCAGACAGGCCCCGTCTCAGGACAGCATCTCTCTGGGTCTACTGACACACACAGGACTCCCAAACACTTACCACTCCAAGTCACCAGGACACCTAGAGGCAGCATGGAACCAACTCAATGCCCAACGAATGGGAGTTCTCGGTCAACTCACTCCCCCTAGCGGCGGCACATCACATGACTGTGACATACCCCTGGCAGGTGTTGGCTGACCGGGACATTTGAAATCACAGATGAGTCATTCACCCTATGCCTCATATAGTCCATACCTGCAACTAAGGACGTTTTCTTGTTTCCCCTGATAAACATAGTGCTACTCCTATGCTCACATGCTATGCTTTACAACCCGCTGTAATTATTCTGTATTCCTATCGACTAACAACACCGGTATAAACATGTGCCAAACATTCCACAAAGTGCAACCTTTACAACGGGCACATTACTATAACACTAACTTACAAGCTGACTTAACCTTTAGTTGATAGCTTGTTACTGCATAACAGCCTACACTAGAGCAGCACAACCTGCATACACAAGCCAACTACCGACACACTGCAAATCGCAATGCCGCACTACATCTATGTAGACATAGCTACTCAAGCACTGTTAAGTGTTGACTATTTTATTTTATTTTGTTTTATGTTCATCCAACGGTTTCACTACCTAGCCAAGCTTGTTATAATGAAATGATATGAAATGTGCAATATCTCATACCACTGTCTAACCTTAATCTGCTGTGGCATCTGTCATGTTTAACCTCTAACATGTTTCCTATCTTGATTGTAGAAAAAACAAAACTGTGCTATGTATTTCAATGCCATACCTATGTTAATGTATGTTTCCGTACTTGCTTGCACCAGCTATCGTGGCAGTGCAAACATGATTGTTCACGCTATGCACAAATAAAATAAAGAATTTAAAAAAAAAAAAAGATCCTATATACTGGCTTGTATGCTCTTAGGGCAGAATCATACCACTCTTTCCACTTTAGTCCTTAAAGTCCTGGCTCTGAGGGTATTTACCCCAGTGTATTTACCTCCCTGACATAAATGCTAAGAAAGCAAGGTGCCAGGGAAGTAGCAGGCGCAAGTAGCAGACGCAAAGAGTGTCACATTGCTGCTTTTTGCTGTAATTTATTTAATCTGTTATGTTTTTTTTCCCAACTGTCACTTTTCAGAACCCTTTAATAAAAATCTCCCAGTGTTTCTATTTCAATTCCTGATGGGAAATTGCAAGATGTGGCAAAAGTTGTCTGAAGCTATTTTCATTGTCAAATTTTCCCAAACTCTTCTGGTCCATATGTGATATTCTTATTCACTGAAATGGTAACACGGTGTTAATCTTTTTCTTCATAGATAGTGCCACTTTAAACAATAGAAAGTCTATGTTCATATAATAATCACTTTATAGATGCATAGTATATCTGAAACCCTCACCCTGAGCTCTATAACAAAAAACAGCAAAAAATGAGATGGGTCTGTGAGAGCTGAGAAGAAGACCTTCAAACAATTACCAAAGAAACAAACAAGTAATATTATATCTAAAAAATACAAAACTACTTTACACAACATTAAATGTCTTTGCTCAATGCTAGACAATATCAATACACCCAAACAAGAGTGTTTTCTCTTAGACAAAGGTTAAGCTGCACTCCACTCAGTCCTGGAGTAGCAGCACTCTAGTTAGGTTAACAATAAACAATGGGTCTACGATGCTATCTGCGTCATTTTTCCATGGTTTGAATGGCCAATATTTGTAGTAACTGTGTTTTCAATGTGCCTCAAACAGGAACCAAAACATCCATAATCAGACTGGCAAAGGAGCACAATCCCTGGGCTCAACCCAGTCTGGTACCAGTCTGAAAATACGTACCTTTGTTTAACTGTAAATTAAGCAAAGTGTATTTAAAGCAAATCTTCATCTGCATAAACACGTTTTGTTATTTTATTTTATTTTTAAATCTGACGCGACAAATAATAAAGAATGAATTTGTTTTATTTTTACTTTTTTTCTTGGCATAGATTAGGATATATTTACTAAACCGTGAATGGTGGGGAGGGAGAATTGAACCCAAAAAAGTCAAGATGGGAAAAAAAGCTGAATTACAGAAGATTTCTAATTCCAATTTGAGTATAGGGCTATAAATGATAATCAAATGGTGACTTATGCATCTCTTTTTTCCTTCTTAACCATTTAGTGCCAGGCTCTTTTCACTATGAAAAAATGGCTTAACATTCATTTGAAACAAAGGATTGGTAGTCACTATGTAATGTAGGATAAAACAACAATTTTATATATAGGGATATCTAAAAATAAAATCATGTAACCTTACAGTTTTCATGTATTTGTTCATTCTTTACAGAATAATAGTGGGGGATAAGATATATTTTACAGACTGCTTTATCTTCTTTATCTCATTATATCTGTGAGGGTCTGAATTTTTTTTTCACATATACTAGGTATGGCAAAAACATAAATAAATAAAATTGGTAAAATGGTTAACTACGCTGTGTTTTGGTATTTTACACCTAGGGCTTTAGATAGTGTAATGTAAATTGTGAGTAATACAAAGTGAATTTATATACCAGAACTCAAAACATGAGAAGTTTTTCAAATTTTTAATTTGGTCTAAAATTTGGAATTCAGTAGTTACAGTGGATTCCCCTGCATATACGGGGATAAAGACATAAAGAGTATGGTTATTACCAACCATTTGTACATTAAAGAAGCATGTCATGAACCACAACCACTAATGAATTTTGTAGTGTTTATGGTACCAGGAGTGTGCTGCCACCACTTTCAACAGGCAAACTGATTTAATATGGATTTACAACTTACCTGGATTCTAAGGGTGGCCTTGACATACATGGTCTTATCCCATAGAATAACGCACAGCTAATCCAGGACCATGCTCAGTGTCTGGGGGTGCTCAGCTGGGGTTTTCAATCAGAGAGTGTGGACCTGCGTAGCTCTATAGTTATAGCCATATTCTCCTGCAGGTGAAGATTGGAAGCAGGTGCTGTGGTGCAGGGGCCTGGCAGAACCCATGCTAGTTGTCAAACTGTACTAAGTCTGTAGCTGGGTTTAGTGGTTATGGTGCTTGGGTTGTGTTCTTTAAAGGGATTGATGTCTGCTATTACAGCCTGAAAATAAATCATGCGGTCAGTGTGTTCAGTGTGCCCAGAGCCCTCCTTGCCATCATTCCCTGCTAGAATAATACACAAATACATGGATTGTCTCAACGCACAATCTCTCTACAGCATACAGACAAACATTTCAAATGGACAGAGAGGGACACTTTAATTTTAGGAGTGTGGGAGGGTGGGGCTAAGGGTGCTCCGGTGCTGCTGTTCTCAGATATTTTAGGTGACCTACTAATGCTAAAGCGAGAACAATGTATCTTATTTGCACGGACTGAATACTAAAAAGATTTATTGTTATTTATTGTTATTATTATAATTGGCATTTATTATGTATTATTATTGTCCATCATATTCCACAGCGATGATTTTTGTGGGAAAATGGACAGTACAGTACAGAGAAACCATTTTTAAATGGAATACAGGACCCTGCCTGTGTGCTGAGATCTAGCATTTACTGCACCTTTATATTTATTGTAATTCAAAGACACACTACTGTGAGTATTATTACATGGAGCTCCTAGATAAGAAGGACATTAGGATACAAAGGAGAGACAAAGATATTTGAGCCCTAAATAGGGACTGTCCCTCCTAAATACGGACATTTGGAAGGTATGCTCTACATTGTAAACTCATGGGCTATCTTACATAGCACTTTGTAGGAGGTGCAATGAGCATTGGATTAAAGCCCATGGGTCGGGTTCTCTACTCTTTTTGTATCAGCGTGTTTAATTATATGGCCATTTAATTATATGACCCATTTAATTTTTGTATTAAATATGAGTTACAAGGTTCCATTAGGGCATGTGCACTCCTGAGATTTTCTGAGCAAGTTGCCATTTGTAACATTTGTAAAATAGTATCATTCCACAATATAGTTAATCAGTCATTAAAACACACTATAAATGCAGGCACCAGCAAGTATATCAAGAATTAAACAACTAAAAATGAAACCAAAAGTAGTTATGTTAAGTGTCCTATCAACACTTAGATACAATATATATATATTGTTTACCCACTGGTATTTACAGCTATCTAAATAAATCCAGAATTCATATGTATGCAATATAAAACATGAAAAAACTAAAATAGTGTAGATTGTCTGAACAATGTAGTATACAGGCGATATATACATATTTAACACTCACAAGTAAAGTGTCACGGGTATACCTAATATTATATTGTGCAAAAAAAGAATGGATTCCACCTCTCAAGTAAAAGTAGGACTGGTGTCCCCTCTCACAGGTACCTGGGAATGAATGAATGCTCTAGGCATTTACATGCCTCTTGAATTTAGCTCCTCTAAGCTAAACAACCAGAAAGTAACAGGACCTGTTGTCTGACAGCCGGTGGGGTGTAACAGGTTAATTTATAAAACGTGCCAATTTCTATTGAAATCTGCATTCCTTGTAAAATGAAAAAAAAAAAGACAGACTTTGCTCACATAGAGGACTTCAGCATGCTTAAGTGCATTAGGTATTTGGAGTGTCCCTTTAAACTTGAAATTCATTTTGAACTCACTTGTAAATCCCGCTTTAGCGAATAACCCTGTGAGAGATTCCAACAACAATTGAAAGCAGCACATTAAATGTAGACACTGATACTAAAGTGAATGAGATCCTGATTTTGAACGTACAACATCTAAAATGCGTTGTGTGTTTTTCTGTTCCTAGCATCCTATTTTAATCAACTTCCCAAAACCTTTCATATAATGCAGTTCTTATGATGTATCTGGGTGTGTTAATCTGGACAATTGTTATCTAGCCGTATCCTTATCTAGATGTCACCTTGGTCATGAGAATCAAACTGTTCTCTGTCATTTGGAACCCTAAATACTGAGCGTGGTTATCTGACTCTGGAGAATCTGCCTTGAAAACCATTATCTTAGTGATTGTGCGACAGCAATCAAGACTGCAACAGGTCCCACCCCTTCTTTGTAGAAGTGGATCATAAATATATTTCTCACACACATTATCAAGAGGCTGTCCCCAGCCGTAAAGTCTGACAGAGAGAGATTACCAAGCCAAGGGGAGGGGAGGGGACCACAATACATGCTTGAATGGGATGGGAAACTTAAAACATTGTCCCAGTTCCACCAGGGACTCTCTAGAGACTTGGAATCCAAGCTTTGAATATTTTTTACTACAATGCTGTTAGACTGTCATTACCCTGTCATTTACAGTCATCTGTGTGTTCAGGGAATACAGAATTTAGCATCAGAAATACACTGTGCACACCCAGATCTTTGCTGGTACGAAAACTTGTATCCTTTCATATTTTAATATTCCAACATTTTTCATTTA